ACATTGGGAATTAAAACAGGGTGAGCTGGATGACCATGAAAAACTAGTTTCAGTGCTTCGACAAGTAGAGATCGTCATCTCCGCAGTTCCAATCCCTCAATACCTTAAGCAACTCAATATTATACAAGCCATGAAAGATGCTGGCACCATCAAGGTTAATTCTCTCTTATGTTTGTCAGAGACTTGTTACATTAGCATAACTAATATTATTAAGCATCCAACCTAAAATCAACTACAGAAGATGACAAGAGACTAACAAATTCAAGCTTTAATCAGTATCTGAAGTTTAAGTCTACAATTTGAATCTAAAAGCAACTGTCAACAGGTAGAAATTTAAGAATAACTAACTACAATAAGATTATAAAATTAATATCCCAAATTTAAGGGTGCGTATGTAATACCATTTTAATAAATATGATGATCTGCGGTCGACCTCACACTTTTGTACTTTCAGAGGTTTGTTCCTTCTGAGTATGGAAACGAAGCAGACAGAGTGACAGCTCTTCCACCTTTCGAGGCAATGCTCTCCAACAAAAGAAAGATCCGACGAGCCACGGAGGCGGCTGGACTCTCGTACACGTTCATCTCCGCCAACTCATTTGCACTGTACTTCGTTAACTATTTGCTCCATCCAGAGGAGAAAGACCACCAAGTCAGCATATATGGAAGTGGAAAAGCAAAAGGTATTTATATATGTCAGAGCCCGCAAAACTCAGATTTTTTTTTTTTTAATAACATGGTTGTTTGGACTTTTCCCCAGTTAATTCCATAGGCACCAATAATTTTTTATGTTCATAAATACTAAAATAAAACATAATTTTTAAGAATGACGAGTGTAAACTATTAAAATTTTTTGCAGCCGAATAAGACTGCAAAATTAAGATATTTTAATACAATATATATGTACATGTATTTAACTAGAAAGAATTGAAGTTGACTCTTTTCCATACATTCAATATTTTGATGCAGCCGTACTAAATTATGAAGGAGATGTAGCAACTTACATAGTCATGGCAGCTACAGATCCGAGAGCAGCCAACCGGCTTGTTATCATAAGGCCTCCGAACAATGTTGTATCTCAACTGGATTTGATATCTTCTTGGGAGAAAAAAACTGGGAGAAACATCAAAAGAGTTCATGTTCCTGAGGAGGAAATCATAAAGCAAACTAAGAGTAAGCTAAAAACATGGATTATTAATTAATCATTAAATGCTCATGTCTTGTGGCATGTATAAGAAATATTGTGTATTTTTTCATTAATTGTAGCATTGCCTAGTCCGCAGAACATGCCGCCCGCGATCCTGCACAACATATTTGTGAAAGGCGATCAGACGAGTTTTGAGCTAACTGAGGAAGATTTGGAGGCGTCGGAGTTATACCCTGACTACAAGTATACTTCAGTGGATAGGCTTCTTGATGTGTTTCTGATTAAGCCCCCTAGGAAGCCTAAGCTTGCATCCTTCTGAGTGTAGAAAACTATAATGTTATGTCACCGGTGAAATAGTTACAATAAAGACCGTCATGTTGTTGGAGTAGCGTGTACCAAATGATAGCGAGAATAACAATCCAATAATAAAATTATATATCTTGTGTACTAATTAATGGTCCCATTTGGGAATGGCAGAAGGCCACAAAATGGCTTGTTTTTGGTTTGAACTACTTGCCCAGATTACCCAACTGTAACCGGCAATACTTAGTCCAAGATTTCGTTGAGGATGCATCTTATTTTGATGAAATACAAGAATTCAAAATTAAAATTCATAGATTAAAAAATGTATTTAAAATACATATAATTTCAACGTGAAAATATATAATATCAAATACACATATTTAGATCAAATTTAAATACATTACATTTGAATAAAAATAAATAATATATTTAAAGTTAAAGTTTCAAATTCAAATGCATACGCAAAAAGGCTATACAAGATGTCGAACAAGATCGAAACACGACCTTATGACTTTCAAAATTAATTTTCCGCCCATCTCATGAATGATAGTGGTGACATATGAGAAAAAAAAAAAAAAAGGAAATATTAACATTGTATAGGTCGAAGGAGCAATGCAGAGAGCGGCGGAGGGCAACCGTTGTGATTGCCGGAGAGTTTGCCTTCAGCCTGTGTTCTTCGGTTGGGCAGATCGAGCGAGGCGGAGGAGAAAGTGGGAGAGATAAATACAGACAATTCTTAAACGAACTTTAATTTTAATTTTGCTGTAGTAAATGAACGGGCCGGTCAAGATATTTTGGGTTTTTAATTTTTCCGCTTATCAAGAGAATTAATAAAGGTTTTTTTAGATTAGAGTTAGTATGAGGCTACTGATATCTAAATTTTTTAATTTTTTAATATATAAAAAAATATTTAATTAATACTTTACATATTTTAAAATAATAAAAAATTAAAATTAAAATATAAAAATATTATTAAATAAACACTTTTAATGTGTAGAGCTAGTCCTTCAACAAGTTATATCTCAGGTGTAGCAGATGGCCTAATTATTTTGGGCTTTATGTTTAGTCTAATAAGATTTGTCAGTAGGCCAACTGTGGGTGTGTTACCATTTTATTGGTCCAAAGGCCTGTAATTTGGATTTCTTATTGCCTGGCAGACATGAATTCTTTATTGGCAGAATATTGAATTATTCTAGCTTTAGTAATAAGTAACTACGGTGTTCGCGGGTTTGGTTTAAATTTTAATATTTTTTAAATTAATTTAATTAAATCGATTAATAAAATTTTTAAATTAATTTAATCTATTATTATATGATAATCAAACCAATGCAACTTAAATCGGATCAGTATGATTTAGTTAGATTAATTGATTTTTAACATTATTAAATATATAAAATAATGTAAAAATATTTTAATATCGAATAAAAAGTATAACCATAAAACACATTAGCATATAAATCAGTAAAAATATAATAAAAAGTACAAATTATAAACGAGTTCTTATACTCTTTTACATTTGTAAAAATTAAAAAGATTTAACAATTCTTCTTGGTTACATCACTAGAAGAACCAAGAACAATAAAAGATGATTTCAAGTTTCTAATATAACGTAAATAATTCTTAAAAATTAAAATTAGTTTTTTTTAATGTATTAATAATTTAATCTCATCTTCTAAATCATGTTAAAAGTGAATAAAATTTAACATAAATATCACTAAAATTGATTAGAAGCATTCATAATCAAAATTTAAAACTTTTAAACTAAATATCCAAGAATAATTTTATTATATAATTTTAAGACTTTTATAATGATACTTATTTAAAATTTAGTTATGAGAATCATAAGATTATTTTAAGAATAAATTAGAAATTTAGGGTTCTAAGAGTAAAGGCGAAAACCAATTCTAAGGGAATAGAGTTGTAAGTGAATTAGAAATTTAGAATTAGGGTTAGAGTGCATAATTAAAATGGAAAAATAACTTAGGGAATATGGAGATATTCTATTTTTATTTTTTAATTAAGTTAATGGAGTTATTATCTTGTAAAATAAGAAAAAGAAAATTTTAAAATACTATAAAAAATATTATATTATTTAATTAAGTTATCTTGTAATCGAATTTTATTTTATAATCGAGTAGTTTAGGCGATTTAAAGGTAAAATCACAAACCAAACCAATTATATTGGTTTAAAAATTTTATAATTCAAATCAACCCAATTTTATATCAGTTTGAATTGGTTTTTTATTAGATTAGATCAGTTTAGGTCGGATCAATTGAATGGAATCAAATATGAACACCCCTATAAGTAACTTAGTAAAGAAATTAAAGAGAAATGGGTAAATAAGAATGTTAACTTCAGATTTTTTTTATTTTAGCATGTTAATTTTGTTAGTTTTTAAATAAAAATATCAACTTTTAATTTTTTTTTATTTAAAAATGTTAACTTTTAATTTTTTTATTTAAGGATATCAATTTTCAACTTTTTTTTTAAAGATTAATTAGATGATAATGCTAACATGATAGATGGATTTTTTAACTGAAATGTTGAAAGTTAATATCCTTAAATAAAAAAAAATAAAAGTTAATATCCTTAAATAAAAAAAATTAAAAGTTAACATTTTTATTTAGAATCTAACAAAGTTATCATTTTTAAATAGAAAAAAGTGCAAAGTTCACATCCTTATTTGCATCATTTTTTAGAAATTGAAGTACTATCAATTTTATTTGGTGCAAAATCTTAGGGAGTTAATAGATTAGAGCAACAGAATTAAGATTTTACAGATTTACATATAGTCTATCAATACCTTGCTCCTACATTATTACCAACTTGAGACACAATTAGAAACATAATATCTTCCCTATCAAAAGCCATTGAGTTTTTATAGCAAATGTAATTAGAAATGTACCAACTTAGTGAGTTCTCCCTTTAAATCTTCCTAATCAAAAGCTATTGGGCTCTCTAGCTCCTTGATAAAATCATTGCATCATACAAATCATTGCATCCACCCCCACTATTATTCAATGCAATTTAACTGCAAAACATCAAACTCTTAAAATTAACTCTTTAATTTTAGGGTGAATTCTTTTAGTTTTAGCAAGTGATTGAGATAGTGCATGCTACAAAAAATATGAAAAGTATAATATGCTAGAACAAAGTGTCGTTATCTGTTGGTGCAATGGCACTTATGGAAAGCTAAGAATAAGAAATATGTTGAGCAATCGTTGGTTGATCTCAACAATCGTTGGTTGATCACCAACAACTACTTAACTGAATTAATTTGATGATCCATGAACATTGTAATGCCCCATGTGTGGATTTATTTGATCCCACCACTTGTCTAGCGCAAAGACGATCACAACAATGGTTTATCTAGTCTCATGCCTCCTTTGGTTTTTTGAAGGTTAAAGTTGATGCTTCCTCTCAACTTGCCAATGAAGTATCTACTTCAACCATGGTGGGGAGGAACTCATGCTTTGTGGGTTGGGCAAACTTGGCCTATTTGGGTTGTCTCCATTATGATTGATCTTTTGCTTTATTGAAGATGATTCGGTTTAAGAAATTCTTCTATTCAACAGGCTAGCAAGTCAAGAATATCCCAGTTTAATAATGTAGTGATAATTATATCTATAATTGAATAGATTAATTTATTAGAATTTACTAATCAATTTATTACAAATAAAAGACAACAATTGTCGCTACATTATTGAATGGTTAACTTAACATTGTCACATTTTAAATCTCATAACAAATCTTATCATGAAGGCCTAATATGATATGTTGTCTAAAGTGACAAAACTCTTTCACGGGGGGCATAGAAGTTTGTGTAGATATTATGTTGTTTTATTTTCTTCTTTTTTTTTTGAATTTTTAATCACGGTTTCTTTTTCAATTAGGGCTTCTTTCATTCTCTAAGTTTCTAATGGAGACATAGAAGCATGATGGCAAGGACTCTAGACCTTAAGTAGAGGCACGTTCATATTTCTAACAGCATTCCAGTTCAGGCTATAAAAGGCCTTGGCCGTTGAAAGTAAACCCTACTCCTCTTTGAAACCAATTCAGCGCTACCCACATTCAAGTATCAATCTTCAAGCAATCTCAAGCAAGTTTCAATACTCAAGCACAGACTACTTGACTTTTCATTTCCTTGTAGACATTATAGCTACAATCCTTAGTTCCCCTGTTAAGGGAGCAATTCAACAACCTTTAGGGTCCACTTGGTTCATGAAAAATTATTTCCAAAAATCATTTTTTCCATTTTCCTATCTTTGAGAGTCATCTTGAAAACTAGTCAATGGAAAAAACCATTGTATTTTTTGGAAAGCAACTTCTAGAATTTTTTCAAAAAGATGTTTTCCTTTGAAAACACATGGATCTAAAAAGATCAAAAATTGTCAAATCAATTAGGTTTCAGCAACAGTTTTCAATCAAGAATTCAAAACCATGGTGCCTCCATTGGGTTTGATTGGAGTGACTTTCAATCAAATGCTCTCACAAATTTGGCTGGCATAATGGTGGTGGCTAGTGCCAACACTTCTATAAAAATTAAACATGTGAGTTTCAACATAATATTTGTATCTAACTTAAAGTTAATTGACAATAGATGAAGTAGTTTTCCTTATATTTAAATCACATGCTTTTTCGTTATATGTTTAATGTGAAATTTTCTCACCTAACACATTTTGCAAATTGTTGACTTAGAAAATTTCACATCAAATATATAACAAAAAAATATGTGAGTTAAATATGATAACTACTCCACCTACTGTCAATTGAACTTAAATTGGATGCAAATCTTGTATAGAAACTCACATGGCTAATTTTCATATACTACCTCCTCATCTTCACTTCTAAAACAAAACTTAACTATTTCTCATCAAAGAAAAACTCTCATAATATAGTAATATTCCACTATTTTAGAATCATATCAACCATATGTTGAGGCATCTAGAGCTTCTGTGCCTTTGGGGAGGACAAACACTATGAGCTCCTTATTCAAATCAATATCACATTATATTTATTTAATATTATATTATTATTATAAATTTATAATTTTATACAATATTGTCATTATTATATAATCGACTTATTTATTTCTTAGATATTGGTGAAGGCAATGACACTAGCCAAAAGATTTGGGCCAGACTCAATTTGTTTTAATAAGATGG